TTTGGTATTCTTCATCGTACTAGAACAAATTTGGGTCTTTTTGTTCATCCATTATGATTCCTACACGTACAGAATACTTTCTCTTTCTTTCTCTCTCTCTCTCTCTCTCTCTCTCTCTCTCTCTCTCTCTCTCTCTCTCTCTCTCCCTCTCTCTTCCTCTAACACAAACTCTTTATTTCTCCAACCTATCCCTTTCTCCCCCTCTTTCTTGCACTCTTTGTTCCTCCTTTAGCTTATTTAAAAACGAAAGACACGCAGAAAGAAACAACAGAGGCAATGGAAAGAAGTAAGCAGAGGAGGAAGCAATCAGTGACTTTTTCCAACCAGCCACACGAATTCATTCACGTCAGCTGAACTCCATGCTATATAGAGAAAGTGCCGTTTATCCTGCTCTGATGGCCACCTGTATAAGACAATCATCTGTACAAAAGGCCGCTTCCCACCTGTCTAAGACAACTACTTTTCACCCCCCCCCCCAACAAAAAGAAAATGAATGGCCTCCTCAGACAATTTAACCATATCCGTACGACCTGGGGTCATTTTTTACCTCCGGGGTTGTATTGTTCACATTTTAGAATACTTCTAGAGCGAAGATCTCTTTGAAACTTTCAGTATTCTCAAAAAATCATTCTGACAGACTGCTATGCAAAGCGTACGGATCTGATCAGCGAGTAAGTTTCCTCTTTTCAAAGTGGTGGTACAGAGTTCCCCACGTCGTATGGATACGATAGTAAAACACGACGTACGAATAGGGTTAAACAGTCTGTATACAGTAGGCTACCATTAACATTTTCCAACCGGCCAAACGAATTCATTCATGTCAGTTCAGTTTCCCTGTGCTATAAAAAAAAGTACAGTGCATGCATGCCGTGTTTCCACACCACTAACCCAAGTAATCAGTCAGGCGAAGCCATTAAATCTCAGTCAGACCATTTTTATCATTCAGAAAAGCACTCAACAATAACGCCTGTCCTACTTATTGTGACTTAGAATCTACATTACAAGTGGCAACCAGGTTTTTTGAGGCCACGCATTGAAGTATGATGAAGTACACATGAAGAGAAAGCGGATTTTAAGTTATTATGTTTTTTAAAATGGGGAGTTTGGGGGAG